AAAAGATTAGTTTGGTGTGATTGTTTTTGCTTCTGTTTCCTTTATTACTGGAATCAAACCCCCAAAGACATATTACTAAAGCTAATACCTTGGCATGTTTTGTCTGTGTTTTCTGCAGTGTAATTTATTGGATCCAATCTGACATCTGACACCCATGTTTTTAATATGATTTGAGTTAACTTTTCTGCACAGTATCAGATAGTGGTCTAATTTTATTCTTTTGCACATAGCTATTCAGTTTTCCAGAGCCATTAACAGAAAAAAATTTTCTCCCTCTATTTTATTTTCTTGGTTTTATCACCATAATTTAACTGTCCGCATATGTCAGGATTTCTACTGGGGCTTGAAAATCTATTTCATTGATCTGTATTTCTTTATTCTACCTTTGTGTTGTAATATGAAGTCAGGGAGCATGATACCTTCATTATTCTTTGCTTTGGGGACTCTTTGTGGTTCCATTGGAAGTTCAGTAACTTTTAGTGTATTTTCTTGAAGAGTCACATTGAGATTTTGATAAATATTGCATTGACTCCTCATATTGCTTAAGGTGGAATGGTTGTTTTAACAACATGAGTTCTTCTGATTTCATATATTTGAAATATCTTTTCATTTCACCCTTTCTTCCTCTAGTTCTATTAAAAGTCACTTATAGTTTTCAATGTACAAGTCTTTCACCTCCTTTGTTAAATTGACCTCTAGGTATTTTAAGTCTTTTTAATGTTACTGTAAATATTATTTATCTCTTCTTGTTGGTTACTTGTATATAAAAATGCAACAGGTTTTTGTCTATCAATTTTTCAGCCTGCTACTTTGTTGTATCAGTCTATTGTTCTCAGTGATTTTTAATGGAGTCTTTTGAATTTTCTATATATATATTACCCTGTCACCTGCAAATAGTAATAGCTTGAATTCTTCTTATCCAGTTAGGATTTCTTCTTCTTGCCTAATTGTTATGGTTTCCAAGTATTTGGAAGAATCTTATTGTGAGTGTGGGTGAGAATAGAAATCTTTGCCATGTGCCTGATCTTAGAGTAAGATTCTTTTTTTTTTAATGTTTTTGCCATTTTTATGTTTTTCTAGCCCTATTTTATTGAGTTTTTAATAAATAAATGTTGAATTCTGCCCAAAAAATCTTTCATCTATTATAGTCACATAAATTTTATCATTTTTGATGTGGTGTTTTAATTTGCCTATGTTGAACCATCCTTGCAGTCCTGTGATAAATCCCACTTGTTTATAATGTGAGTCTTTTAATGTATTATATTATATATAATAAAAGCCTGTGAACAAACATGTACATGTTTTCTAGTTTGAAACATGTATTGTTTTTCAGGACTATTACAACAAGATAAATTAAAACAGCTATTTATTATCTCAATGGGCTGGAGCAATAGCACAGCACCCCGGTTTGATTCCTCCACCCCTCTCCAAGAGCCCAGCAAGCTACCGAGAGTATCTCGCCCGCACCACAAACCCTGGCAAGCTCCCCATGGCATATTCGATATGCCAAACATAGTAGCAACAAGTCTCACAATGGAGACGTTACTGGACCTGCTCTAGCAAATTGATGAACAATGGGAGGACAGTGCTACAGTGCAGTGCTACATGGTTCTGGAGGGAAAAATCCAAAATCAGGGTGTTCAAAACAGGTCATAGTCCCACTGAAGGATCAAAGGAGAAATATTTCCCTACCAACTAATGCTTTAAGTGACTCCTGAAAGTCCTAGGTGCTGCTTGGCTCATAGCAGCATGAAACTTCCACATAAACTTGCCCTGCTGTGTATGTCTATACATCTTCTGCTTTTGTTATACTAATATAATATAAACAAAATATTGTATTCTATACAAAATACTAAATCTATAACCATGCTTCCAGACCCTGCGCCAGGCTGTTTCCCTTGGGGTACCCCTGAGGGGGGCGGGTGAGACCCATCCCTACCCCAGGAGACCCAACCCTGGCAGCAGAAAACTTCTAGAACTCAACTGCCACCATGCTCACAGCCACTCTCCACACGCTCAGGCTGAGCCTCACCCACAAGTGAACCTATTTCTGGATCACAGGACACTTAATAGGACACACCCTACCCATACTCCAGGACTACTGCACCACATTTGATGGAGTTGAAAGTAGAAGGCAACCAATCTTAGAAGGAAATTTTTTTCAGATATATATATAAAAATATTTTTTCAGATACATATATTTTTTCAGATATATATATAGATATATATATATAGATATATATATATATATATATATATATATATATATAAAGCCTGGCAAGCTACCTGTGATGTATTCGAAATGGAAAAAACAGTAACAACAAGTCTCACAATGGAGACGTTACTGGGCCCTCTTGAGCAAATCGATGAACAACGGGAGGACAGTGCTACAGTGTTCTCTCTCTCTCTCTCTCTCTCTCTATATATATATATATATATATGTGTGTGTGTGTGTGTCATATAAACACAAGTTCAATCTCTAACAACATGTTAATGATCTTTTATAGAAGCGCTTAATGGCCCTTGGGTGAAATACAACAATCTTCACCTTCTTTCCTCTAAGGATACTTGTTGTAGCATTTTCAGCAGTTTTTCATAAAAAACAATACAAAATATATTATTTTGGTTCTGCTTTGAGCCAGAAATTGGGGTTCGGGATGGAAACATCCAAAATATGGTGGCAGGAAGGTGTAACAATGGTGCAATTGTTGTTTGAATATTAAATGTCATGAATTATTGTGAGCTACTTTGTAAAATAAAAAAATTATAAAAAAATAAAATATTAGATCTTAGGGTCCACACAAATCCAATATTACTAGATCTTAACTATGTGCATCCGCAATGTTCACATTTGAAAAATAAGGCATTTTTGAGTGCTATTACATCTACTACATCCTCCATCAAAAAATATATATATATATCTAACTTTATTCTAGCACCTCTTCACTTTAGTTTGTAAACATAGAAGCATAGAAATTAAAATCACATTCGTTCTAGCATTTGATGCATTTCTCTTTTTTTTTTGGTTCCTTTCTGAATCAACCAACTGAAATTCAACAAATGTCTAGTTGAGGCTAAAGACTTTCAACTTGTGAGAACAAGTATTATATATGGAATCCTGGGTTTGTTTCCCAGCAACACTCAGCACTGCACTAGAATGGCACCAAGTACTGCTGTGTGTGGCATTTTCCTGCTCAGGCCACGAAAAATCCTTAGTCTTTTAGTACACTATGCTTTCCATCTTTGTTTTAAATTATTTTAATTTTATGAGGTTTCCTATAACTACTATCTTTAGCACTTTCTTTTTTCATATGCACTAATTTTTATGAAACTAAGAGAAAATATGCAATTTAAAATTTCAGTATCCTCCACAGAATAAAAGTACTACTCTATAGAGAAAGATAGCAACGTAAAATAAAATTGCATGTTAGAAGATATAATTAAAGGGTTATATTCTGAACCAAGAAGTCAATCAGGAAGTTCATAAAAGTTCAAATTCAGTATAGGAAGAAAAGTGGACACAAAGTGTCACTTTATTTCTCCATGAAATTTATTCCCTCATCTATGATATATGGTTGCATATCTCAAAGTCACTATCACGATCATCCTGTTGTTCGTCGGTTACCTCTTGCAGGCACCAGTAACGTCTCCTTCTTCCTAGCCCTGAGATTTTAAAAGAGCCATATTCAATGCTCTTTCAGGGCTAGGAGAATGATACCTATCATTGTTACTGGTATTTGGCATATTGAGTAGGACATGGGAAGTTTGCCAGACTCTGCCGTGCGGGCAGGATACATTTGGTAGCCTGCCGGGTTCTCCAAAGTAAAAACAAGATAGGATGTCGCATGTCCACATTTGCGGTGTGTGCTTCCAGGAGCTGGGGTTTTTTTATTTTTCAGGTCAGCTGTCTTTATTATTTATTTTTTTATGTTCCTTTTTTTTTTTTAATTTTTATTAGTGAAACACCATGAGGTACAGTTGTAGATTTACAAATTTTTGTGCTTGGTTTTCAATTATACAATGATCAAACACCCATCCCTCCACCAGTGCCCATTTTCCACCACCATGGGTCCCAATATCCCTCCCGTCCCCCATCCCCCCATCCCACCCTACTTCTGTGGCAGGGTATTCCCTTTTGTTCTCTCTCTCCTTTTGGGTGTTGTGGTTTGCAAAGCCGTTGATTGGACCACCTGGAGCAGGGAGCAGCTGGTGGGTGTAACGCCTACCTACTGAAATATGGGGGATCTGGGTGGAGAAGGCCCAGTCCTGATCTGAACAGACTTGGAGATCTCAGCCCCAGGACCCGTATGCCTGGGTTCCTCTGCCAGTTCCTTCATGCATGAGGCTTGTCCAGACGTGTGGAGAGTGGTCTCAGCATGGCTGTGGCTGGTTCTGGAGGTCTTCGGCTGTGGGGGCTCTGCTCAGGGCGGGGAGGGAAACTCAACCTGCCACCCTCTAAGGGGCCCCGGTGAGGACAGCCAGGCGCGGAGGCAGGAGACTCTGCCATATCTCAAAGTGTCAAACAATAAGCAATTGTTTGACAAAAAAGGACTCCTTTGATTTCATGCTCATCATATTAATCAATCTGGATAAGGTCTGTTATGCTCCAGGGACTAACATCTCCTAAAAGTTGAGTAGCATAAAACATTCACTTTTCGCTCACACTGTTCATCAATTATCACCTCAGGACTCTGTTCATAACTCATTTGGTGAAACAAATGCAATATAGACCATTGCAAAGAGCATTACAGATCCATGACTAAGATAATGAGCATCCTAGAGGCCCTTGCATCAACAAATACGACACATCTTACTTCTTCTGGTAACTCACTGACCAGCCACACAGCCAGCCATAAACACAGTCAGGAAACCAGGAGTATTTGGCAATTAGCACCAATGCACCAATAGCTACCACATTTTGGGGGGAAAAGGGAGAGTACTTTGCATTTGTGTTCATCTATTCTCATCATCTACTAAGATATTTCCCATTTCACCAACAGGAAAGAGGACCCAGTCCCGGAGATGACCACTCCTGAGAAATTTTATTCAAAAGTCATGCAGACTTTGAAGTATCTAAACTCCCACCTGCCCAAGGGCAGTCATGTGATCTTACATGGCTTACCAGATGGAAACTTCCTCTGGGATCATTTGCACAACAGATATCATCCTCTTGGTAATATTCTAAAGATATTTTACTTTTAAATAATGTCAATTGAGACTTAAAATATGCAAAGTTCAAATCATCTACAAATACCTAAGCAGTCATCATGGTTCATGGGTCAAGTACAGCGTCTAAAAGACATGTAGAATTGGATCCAAAACAAGAAAGACCAGAAGTATTGAATGAAGAATTAGAATAAATAAAAGATGAGTCAGGGTGCCAGAGTGATAGTACAGTGGGTGGGGCATTTGCCTTGCATGTGGTCAACCCAGGTTTGATCCCTGGCATTCCATAAAGTCCCCTGAGCACCTCCAGGAGTTATTCCTGGGTGCACAGTCAAAGTTAAACCATGAGCACTGACAGTTGTGGTCCCAAAACAAAACAAAAACATGAGTCAGGAAACTCTTTAACTAGAGGTGAGGTCTGGAAAGAGTGCTGAAGCCCAAACAGAAGACAGCCTTGAACCCAAAGGAGGAATTTCTCCAAGTCTACATGAAAAGTACATTTGGGTGATCAGTTTGAATTCTCTGAACTGGGTTCTCCAGTATGGCTGCTCCCTGCTTCTTTGTTCTGAAATGCTTAAAAACGTTCCAAAACTTCTATTAGCATCTCTGACAGTCTGAGTGCTTTACACTCTTAAAGTCATAGTAATTCACATTAAGAAGGACTGACTTGATGATTCTAATAAAACAAACGCAGCAAAGAAGATGTTTTGTTAATTCCATTTAATAAATGAAAAAACAAAGGCCCAGAGAGAACAGGCTGCTGGTCAAACATTGCAGGGCTCATGATATATGGAAGCTGGATGTGGCATGTCTATTCCTTCTATGATTTAGGAGAAGTGTTCTTTCAAAAAGGATTTAGCAAGGGCCCACCAAGTGCTAGACCTTGTTCCAGGCACTGGGTAAACCAGCCTGGTTATCAACCCAGGTATCACAAATCTCTGCCAGCATCAGGCCCATATTCCAGTGGAAGACAGTCTCGGAAGTGTGTCACAGGATGATCTTGCAGGAGAAAATCACACAGGGAGGCCAGTGAGTAGTGCTGATCTGAGTGCTCATGTTGGCATCTTGAGGGAGCAGCCTAGCTACCCTTCCTCAGCCTGTAGATACAGCAGTTTTGCCAGTATCTCCTGGAAAGGGGCTGCCTATTTTGAGCTTTGCCACTCACTGCCAAAGAACAATCCAAGCTAAAGGGACTGAAGAGCCATGCAGCCTCTTTTTCTCTTTCCTTTTCTTTTCGAATTTTTTTTATTTTGGTTTGTGGGAGCTTCTTCCTTCTCCCAGCTCCGTGCTTGGGGAGTGCTCCCAGGAGTGATCCTGAGACTATAGCATGCTGGGGGTGACACTCGGGTCTCCTGTCTGCAAAGCCTGCTCTCACTCCAAGATCCAAGCAGTTTTGTTGTTGTTGTTTAGTCAGAGATCAATTCAATGGGAGAAGAACTGAAACTCTCCAAAGGATGAGAGGAAGGAGGCAGAGGGCTCTTCTTGCTTATTTAACTGTATCATTTACAAATCTATAGCATTTACTTCTCCTCTTGTCCTCTTCCTGTATTGCTAAACCCTATCGAGTCAGGAAATGTCACCACTCCCCACTTAGGAAATAGCAATTCTCCTTTAACCACCCTTGAAGGACTATGAGGCTTTTTCAGTAGGGGAAAGAGAACGTGATGTGAGTTTGTGAAAAACACACACACTGCAAGTCTCCCCTCCACCCCACCCATGAAAATGACAGTATTTTCATTTTCAGCTCCAAAGTGTGCCACAGATGCTATTATCACACTAGCAAACCACTGTCCAGACCTGCATCCCCCAGAGATCCATAAACTGCTGCTCCAGGAATGCTTAGCTGATCACAGAGAATCTGACCCCCATCTGCATTCCCTATAACATGTAAAGAATAATTTCTTGCCCATGGAATGCCCCCTCAGAGTCATTGGATAGGGAAACAGCAGTTTCTCCAAAAGACACGTTTGGTTTCTAAATTTCTCCAGTGCTAAAAAACTCATGGAGGCAAGGAAATGTGCTTCCAATTTACATCCCAGCAAGAGAAACCTGGGCTGTGTTTTCTGATTTGAGATCCATTCTCTTTGTATGGAGTCCAGTTAAACTTTTGGCATAAACTCTTCCAGATCTGCCGCATAGTTCTCCTAACTCAAGCACCGGATGTAGTACCACATAATTTGGAAGAGAGCAAAAGAGAGAGAAAATTTCGTGGGGAATCCACTTTTGTGGACTCTCTAGGCCAGTGTTTCTGATCTGGAGAAACACCCTCCCCCCCCCCCACACACACAGGTGTCACTATTGTGCCAAATACGTTTCAAACACCCTGCACTGCACAGGACGGTCCCCCCAGTCAACAATGACCATACTGCCACACCTGGAAGCCTTCCCTAAGCTTCTCTTTGTGCTCTTCAAGTGGTTTCTCTTCAGCACTGAGCATCCACAAAAGCTTCCCAGCACAACAGATAAAGAAGGGAACTTTCATAGCACAAACAGGCTCTTTATAAACAATCCTAGTTTGAATGGCGTGAACGGACCTAATTAAGGAGAAATTTGAAACTATTTTAAACATGTTTAATGCTTTGTTATTATTTCTATCCCATCCTGTGTGGTTGCCATGGGAAATGAGTTATAAACTCCTCAGAAAAAAAAACACCAGGGTTCTTCCTCCACCAAGCAGGGAATATGCAGGATTTTCCAGCTTCTTTATTTCCCCTTTGGTAGGCTCAAAGCTCAGACTCCCAGACAGGGCTATTCCCCTCACCTAGTCTCTGTTCTGCTCCTGCTCCAAATCCAACCTTTGGCTCTTTGCTCCATCCACCCCCCCACCCCCCCGAGTAGGAACCAAAAGTGAAGCAGAGCTAGTAAGAACTAGACACAGAATTTATAACTCTACAAACAAGGGTGGTTTCTATTCTTATTAGTGTTCTCACACCTCTGAGCCAGAAAAGAGCTCAAGCACTGTAGTACATGCTTGTCTTCTTTGCTTGTGCAAGCCCTGAATTTGACCCCTGGCACTGAATTTTACCCCAGGCACCACTGAGGCTGATCCCTGAATACTGAGCTGAAGGAAGCCCTGAGCACTGGGCTGGGGTAGCCCTGAGCACTGCCAGGTGTGGTCCAAAATAAACTTTTTAAAGTCACACTCAGTCAAAGGTTATATGAACCAACTATATGGTTTCTATTTCATTGTTTTCTGTCTGTGAGCCTAGCAACTTTTTTGGTTTGGTTTTGGAGCCATATCTGGTGGTGCTCAGGGTTTAGTTCTGGCTCTGCATACAGGGATCACTCCTGATTGGCTATGGGACCATATGGGATTCTGGGGATGGAATCTGGGTCAACCACATGCAAGGCAAACACCCTAACTGCTGGACTATTGCTCTGGCCCCAAGTGAGCCTAGAAATTTGATGTTCGATGAGAATAATCTCTAAACTTGACATTAGAGATTAAGGAAGAGTTCAAGAAGGAGAGAAGCAGAATGGAGTGAGGGTCCCCTAGATCAGTGATATTCTCCCTGCCACTTAATAGGACAAATTGGAACTCTGTAACTATTCAGTAAAGAAGAGGTCAAAGACCACAGCATCCGATTAGCAGCTAATGGAGGCCAGAATCAGACCAGGGTCCCTCCTCCTGGCTGTCTGGGAGAGAGGATGATGAAGCACACCCCGTGCTGCTCTCAACACATTTGTGAGTTACTACCTAGCCTGGCTGTTGAGCTCTGACAGCCACACAATCTCCACCAGAAATTAAAACTCCCAGTGAGACTATATCATCTTTCTACAGAATTACCAGAGAATAAATCTCATACCTTAGAATTCTACTTCCATAGATCTTTTGAGAAAGGTCAAGCTTGACCGCGAAGTCCTCTCAGACACAGTGTGTAAGAATGTTAATTATCCCATAAATATATCTGTGATATCTGTGATGTACTTTCACAGTAAAAGGGATATTAAGAGGGAAACTTTGTCCTTAAAGACAAGAAAAAAAAGTGCATTGGCAAAAATATTATATAAATTCTGACTAAGAAATTGCTGACTCCTGATGACTACCACAAACCAAAGACATTTTCGGGGTGGTCCAAAGGGCAAGACTTCGGTCAAGAAGTTTGGGATGGGGGCTGGAGGATAGCACAGTGGATAGGGTGTTTGCCTTGCACGTGGCCAACCGGGTTTGATTCCCAGCATCCCATATGGTCCCCCGAGCACTGCCAGGAGTGATTCTCGAGTGCAGAGTCAGGAGTAACCCCTGAGCATCACTGGGTGTGACCCAAAAAGCAAAAAAGAAGAAGAAGAAGAAGAAGAAGAAGAAGAAGAAGAAGAAGAAGAAGAAGGAGGAGGAGGAGGAGGAGGAGGAGGAGGAGGAGGAGGAGGAGGAGGAGGAGGAGGAGGAGGAGGAGGAGGAGGAGGAGGAAGAGGAGGAGGAGGAGGAGGAGAAGGAGAAGGAGGAGAAGAAGAAGAAGAAGAAGAAGAAGAAGAAGAAGAAGAAGAAGAAGAAGAAGAAGAAGAAGAAGAAGAAGAAGAAGAAGAAGAAGTAGTAGTTTTGGGATGCTGGCTATAAAAGAGTCCTAAATCGGCCCTCCCTAAGGGGCCTGCAAGAAAGTACAATAGTAACTTTTATCCAATTATTCTTCAATCTATTTGAAATACCTTATTTTTTACTTCTGGCTTTCTCCACTTGAATTAATGTGGTTTTACTGAGGCTTTTCATTTACATGGCATTTTATGATCTTTGTGGATATTAAACTTTCATGAATGCTAAAATTTTTAAATATAGTTTCAGCATTAAATAAATGCCAAAGGTCCTACCCTAAAGACTTAAATGACTGACACGGGTGCTGCCATAGCTAGGTGGGATAGAACAAGTGTTTTTACTTCCAGAGAGAGCAGATGACATCCACTAGACCACCCCTTAGTGTTTCTCCTCTCTCTGTGTCCCTCTCTGTCCCTCTCTGTCCCTCTCTCTCCCTCTCTCTCTCCTTCTCTCTCCCTCTCTTTTTCCCTCTCTCTCTCTCTCTCACACACACACATACACTCACACATGCTCACTCACACTCAAGAGTTTCTCACCCCTCTAATTCCTTCTGGGAGTGGGATAGGCCTTCTCACTTTCCCAGACTGGGAAAATTCTTGGCCAACATCCTTCACCAGATTTACTTTCCGAGCAAAGTTTCAGATGCTGCCTCTTTCTGGACATGGTATACAGGCATGATAGTTAGTACAAAAGAGATCATTAATACACCAAATTCCAGTAAAGTGAAAGGGATAAAAAAAATAATTCAGAGTTAAGGCATTTGCCTTGCACATAACAGACACTGGGTTTGATCTCCAGCACCCCATTTGGTCTCTTGATAACTTCCAGGAGTGATCTCTGAGCACAGAGCCATGACTAAGCTCCAAGCACAGCTGACCCAAAAACCTAAGCCAACAAAATCAAGGAAAAAATGGTATTTAACTACAGTTTATGCCCCAAAGACTGAGGTTTCCAGATGTATAACTGATCCAGGACAAGAAAAGAAAAATATTTTTAAGTCAACTCTAAAAAGAAAGTGTGATTGAAAAACTGATAGTGCTGATAGGTGAGAAAAAAATCATAAGATCTCTTTTCCTTCTTTCCTTTCTTTAGGCCACAGTCCACCACACAAACTCCCCACCACTTTGAGACTACCACATTCCAAGAAGCATTTCTCTCCTAGCATTTATCTTCTAATATCTCTATGCTAATGCCAGAGAGAAGAGAAATACAATTATTATTCCTCCCAGTTAACTTCTGACCACAATTAATGTACCATTTATCCTATTCAGCAAATATACTGACTCATGCCAAAAATTTCTTCCTTCCCCACCTGCCCAAGTAGCTAAGTGCCAAGACGGGAGAGAGCTGAAGGTGAAGGGACGGAAGTGCAGGGAATACCCAGGAGAACTTACTACCTATAGACTCATCCAAAGGGGTACTGGGACCTAATCTTTGATAAAGGAGCAAGAAATGTGAAGTGGAGTAAGGGAAGTCTTTTTAACAAATGGTACTGGCAAAACTGGGCAGCTACATGCAAAAAAATGGGCTCAGATCTATGCCTAATACCATGTAAAAAAGTAAGATAAAAATGGATTAAAGACCTCAATATCAGACCGGAATCCATAAGGTACATTGAAGACAAAGTCGGCAAAACCCTCCATGACATTGAAGCTAATGGTGTCTTCAAAGATGTCACGCCACTGGCTAAGCAAGTGAAAACAGAGATAGACAAATGGGATTATCTTAAACTAAGATGTATCTGCACCTTAAAAGAAACAGTGACCAAAATACAAAGACAATCCACAGAATGGGAAAGGATATTCACCAAATACACATCCTACAAGGGGTTGATATCAAGGATATACAAAGTACTGGTTGAATTCCACAAGAAGAAAACATCCAACCCTATCAGAAAATGGGGCGACGAAATGAACAGGAACTTCATCAAAGATGAAATCTGAATGGCTAAAAGACACATGAGAAAATGCTCTACATCATTAATCATCAGGGAGATGCAAATCAAAACAACAATGAGATATTAATTTACACCACAGAGACTGGCCCACATCCAAAAGAACAAAAGCAACCGGTGCTGGCGTGGCGAGAAAGGGACCCTCCTTCACTGCTGGTGGGAATTTCTACTGGTTCAACCTTTCTGGAAAACAGTATGGACGATTCTCAAAAAGCTAGAAATTGAGCTCCCATTTGACCCAGCAATACCACTCCTGGGAATATACCCCGGAGAGGCAAAAAAGTCGAAACAACATCTGCAGTTGTCTGTTCATTGCAGCACTGTTTACAATAGCCAGAACCTGGGAAAAACCTGAGTGCCCAAGAACAGAAGACTGGTTAAAGAAGTTTTGATACATCTACACAATGGAATACTATGTAGCTGTCAGAAAGGATGAAGTCATGAAATTTACATACAAGTGGTACTACATGGAAAGTATCACGCTAAGTGAAATGAGTCAGAAAGAGAGGGATAGGCATAGAAAGATTGCATTCATCTGGGGAACATAAAGTAACAAAATAGGAGACTAACACCCAAGAGTAGCCGAGATAAATACCAGGAGGATTACTCCATGGCCCTAAGACAGCTGCACATGCTAGGGGAAAAGGCAGTTCAGATAGAGAAGGGAACACCAAATAAAGTGTTTTGGGAGGTTTCTCTCAGGATGGGAAATCCGTGATGAGAGTAGACTATAGTCTGAACAAGATTGCCACTCAATGTCTCTTTTGCAAACCACAGCACTCAAAAGGAGAGAGGTAACGGAGGGGAATGCCCTCCCCCAGTGGTAGGGTGGGATGTGAGGATGGGGGTGGGAGGGATACTGGGACTGGTGGTGGTGGAGAATGGACACTGGTGGAAGGATGGGTATTCAATCATTGTATAACTGAAACCCAAGCACAAAAACTTGTAAGTCTACAACTGTACCTCATGATGTTTCACTAATAAAAAAAAAAACAAGAAAAGAAAAAAGAAAAGCTGGTTTTAGATGAAGATAGGCCTTTAGGGCTCCCTGTTGAGACTATAAAATGAAACAAAGCCAGTGGCTGAGGGCTCCTAACCAATATGACAATGCAGTCTCCTTTGGAGGACAGAGAGGCCTGACATGTCGCTGTGACTTCAATGATGATAATAAGCCTGTGGTTTTCCAGTCGTGGGATTCACTCACCCACACAAGAGATAATATATTTTCTTCTCTGACAAGAAAATTGAATCTATCTTTCAGTCTAACTGATCAGAGGTATAAATGAAAAATAAGGCTGTGTTCCATCATCTTCAATCTCTTTTTACTCCCAGATAGGTTCTATTATTTTCCTTTATTTTTTTCAAGCATGTGAGAAGTAGTGATGGGTAGGACATCAGTCATTTATCCCTAAGATTTGTGAGGACCTAAATTTTGCATCTCAGTCACAATGTGAAAGTTGAATTGTTTCTGGGGGTGGATATGCTGGAAAGCAGGGAGGGAGGAAGAATCTGTCATAGATGCAGGGTCCACCAGCAGGTATTTTGGAAGACTCAAGGTTACACATGTGTGGTCGTTATCATCTCCCATGTGTCTGTTGCCTGAACCCAAGATAAGTATAGAACTAACCCACTAATTTGGACAAAAGCTTTCTGACAAGAGCTTTCCTCTGAGTGATGAAGAGAGCAATGCCATTCCTTCCACTCTCAACATCCACCAAACCACGGGCTGCTCCAGCATGTTGGAAGGCCTTCAGTTTTCCAGACCATGAGTTGCTGCATGGTCAGCCCTGTAAAGGACAGGTCTTTAGGTTCTCAGCAGGGTATCACTGTGGGTCATTTCTTAGTGATATGTGAACTTAAAAGAACTGATTAAGGGGCCAAAGAGATAACTTAGTGAGTAGGGTGCTTGCCTTGCAGGGAGCTGACTGGGGTTTGATCCCCAAGATCACATATGGTCTTCAAAGCCCCACCAAGAATGATCCCTGAACACAGACCCAGGAGTAATTCTAGAGTACCACTGGTTGTAACCCCAAAACAAAAAACAGAAAAAGATTTAGTTAACTACCAACTTGAAAACTTCTAGTGCTCCTTGAGAATTGGCATTACATGGTAGTGTCGGGAAAAACCACAACATGGCAAACGTCCCCTGGGTCCTACCCCAGCCTAGGCCAAGAGCTCTACTCTAGGTAATAGGTAACTCCTTAAGTCGTCTCCTCTATTCTGAGTCACACTTTGGGACAGAAGAGAGACACAAACATTTTTCACAAGTCATAAGGGCAGCACTATAGAAGTACCAACCTCTGCAAGGAAGGTGGCATCCCCTCCAAGTGTCCCTGCTTGGCTGCTCTGGCAGAGAGCTCGCAACAGGCCCGGCTCTTGTCTTCTAGGCCAGCTGAATAAGGATGTGACCTACTCACAGTTCTACTCCTTCCTGAACTGTCTCCAGGTGAGCTCACATTACTTGTTCCATAGTCACGCCCTGTTAGCATCGTAATCCCTCTGTAATTCAAGTGACATTTTCCTGTTCTCAGGTCAGCCCCTGCCATAACTGGATGTCATCCAACAAGACACTTCGTACTCTCACTTCAGAGGTAGGAGAGCTGCAGTGTCTTTGGTACCATCCTTGGTCCTTCTTCCTCTGTGTTTGATGCTCTGGGGGTAGGATTCCAACAAGATGACAGTCCCCAAATGGTGAATAATGCACTAACTACAGGGTGCTTGAGGACTGAAGAGAAAACAGGTTCTCCTGCCACACTCTGGGTCTGTCATTCTTACTGTGTCTTTTAATCACTGTGTGCATATATCAGTCCCATATCTGCATACCAGCACATTCACACCAGAAACACGTATACAGACACACACATACAAACACACAGGCACACTGTGCAAAGCTGATCCTAGGTACTTGGCAGAGACAGAGAAAAATGTGCAAGTCTTTATATATAAGTAGAGCACATCCAAGGTAAATAAGAATCAACATGATATAGAATTTACTTAAAGGTTCAAATACTTCTTTCGTAGAAAGTTAAAAAAATCTCTAAGAGATTTATTGACTATTTTTACCAAAGAAATACATGTTGATCCTTTAAAAGCTTAGAAAACTCATAAAAGTACAAAGGAAAATAAATTAAACTCAAAATCAGCCAAAAGTCTACTTTAAAAAAAAAAAGCAGATAGTACTATTTGTTTTTGTAGTATTGCTTTCAGAGAAAAAATTTGGGGAGTCTTACTTATATAGTAATAGAATTCACACATTATTTTATGTCTTCCGATATCGAGCATTGTGTCTCCACATACGTTTCTTCTAATAATTTTGCAATCATTTATTTTATCCACTGGTGGTGGACATGTAGATTGCTTCCAGTTTTTTACTGTGCTAAACAACATTTCAATAAAAATTTTTGTGCGTGGAAGTGTCTTAGTGTTCCAACTCTATTTCCTTAAGATAAGTTCTTAGAAAAATATTGAGTGAAATGATATGCCTATGTTTAAGAGTTGATCCATATTACCAAAATGTTTGTTGGAAAAGTTAAAGCAACTGATATTCCTGGCCTCCTATCCCATGACAATATGCGTATTATCATGTTTGTTTATCTTTGTCAATCCCAGGGGGAAGAAAATGGTATCTTATTACATCAATTTGCACTTACTTGGACCCTAATGAATCTTAAAGATTTTCATATGTTCACTGGCTATTTGTGCATGAATAGAATATAGCGTGCAGATCTGCTCTCTGCTGATGGCTTGGCATGAGGTGACAACTATTGATTTCTTTGTTCTGCCTGAATGGTCTGTTTCTCTTTTATTCAGAGAGCACAACAACTCTCCAATACGCTGAAAAAAATTTCAACCACAGAGAAATTTACAAATTTCGATCTTTCCTACGTGGATTTTGATTTCCAAGAGAGTAAGTTTTGCTTGGTTTGGGTGTTGACTTGACACAAAACTATTTAGAACCTGCCAAGGCAAGTGGTTGATGGGAGAGGCTCTGTCCTATTCAGATTACTCTGAATATTGGAGGGAAAAATTATAAAAGAATCTTTCTGGTAAGGTCAAAGCCCAGCACCACCTCCATATTTTATCTTCATTTCAAAAGCCTTGAAACAGGAGACCAGTTGCCAGAGCTTTAGGGAGGGAGAAAGTCTATAAGTCAAGGGAATTACCTAACATTGTTGCCCCCCTCACCAAGGGGTTAAAGAGGAGTAAAACAATAGGGAAGGAAGGAAGGTAAGGCAATGCCTCCCAAGGTGGGCAATGAATTTCCTAAAGACCCAGAAATAATGAAGACTTGCAGGTTTCACACTCAGTGAAATCAACAAGTCTCCAAGGATAGACTTCCAACTTGCCTTTAAACAACAGACCACACTCATCCTAGATGCGGAAGGGACTGTTTCTTTTAAGAATTAGACCAAGTGCTGGGACCACTGCTGAGTGACCACACAGAAAAAGAATGACTGGAGCAACTGATTTATCCTTTACATCTTGACTCTGGAACATTATTATTTGTAGACCTCAGGCTTCCAATTTCACTTCCATTGCTGAGCAATTGTGCAAGAGGAAAGCAAAACCTCCTGGTGAATGACTGCCAGCTGAGATGATGCTAATAAAAAAGCTTCACATTGTAAGCAAAAGATGGAAGATTTCTCATCCTGAGTTCATCATCTCTGTCTTCCTACCGCCGACCACCTTCCTCCCCAGCCAGAGTATCTGAGAGGTAGCAGATGGCTATCATAAATTATCAAATATTACATTAGCTGACACATTTTGCATTGCAGAGTCTAGTACTTCAATTCTGAACATCTTTTCAACAAGACTGATCTCCCTTAACTAGATTGCCTGCCTAGGTAAAATACATTTCTCTTGTGGGGAGAGACATTTTGATAAATAACTTCTCATTGAAATGCAGAGATAAAGACTCATTAATGAATTTCTGGTGTAAACAAATGCACTACCAAGTGATCTTTGTTCATCATCAACCTTGAATATAGACAAAGTTATTAAAATACAATAATGTCTAACACTCACACGGGACTTTTTCATTTTCTAAAATAATCTCCAGCTCTGTCATTGATTATTATCTTTGGGAGTGCAGGCAATTCCCCAGCCATTTCTAAACTCTCCTTGACAGATAGGGAAATGAGGACACAAACTCTCTGTAACACATCTTCTGTGAAATAATGTGTGAGCCTACTAAATGGCATGCCTGGCATATAGCTGGTACCTTGCAAAGGGTGCCCCCACCTTACACACTAACTTCTCAACACACGGTTCAGAATGAGCAGCAACATAACCGACTGAAGGCTACGTAGAAATGCAGACTCCAGACCCTGCTCTCAGTCAAGACCCACCTAATCGGAGTGTGCAAGACAATCTGCAAGTGATTCCTATGCATGTTAAATGGCAATGAAGGGTGCTCTATACTGGCCCAGGTTAAGCAACTCATCCTAATTTTTACTGAGTCCTTTGATGAGCTGTGTCAGTGCTATGGATTCTGTTTTCAACAAAACAGGACAATGCTTACCTTTATGAAAACCCTACAAAGGAGAGCTTTAGCCTTCATCCAATACAGGCCAGCATCCCACAAGCTTGGAAGTCGAGTCATCAACCTATTCTTGCTTTTGCAGCAACAATAAATACAGTGAAGACCAAAAAAGGCTGAAAGTTCAGTTATACTAAAGCAAATATTCAATACCAAGGTCCAGAGAGAGTACAGCAGGTACCGTGCCTACTTCACGTGCGGCCAACCAGGTTCAATCCCCAGCATCCCATATGGTCCCCCGTGCCCACCAGGAGTGACCCCTGAGTGCCACAGGGTATGGCCCCAAAATAAAACAAAACATTCAACATCAACATGGCAGTCAGTCTCCTTACTGAAAAACACCTTAGGTATTCCTCCTTGCTTGGACACTTGTTTGTTGTCTGAGACATTTCTTGACATCTTGTTTTTTCCTGTGTGGCTACAAGGCCAGCTTCTCCTTCTCCATATGAACTGAAAGACTCCACTCCAAGGACTCATGGCCAGCGAGGAAGGGAGAGCAGAGGCAAAGGCCACAGTGGCCTGGGATCTACAGCCTGCACCAACAGCTGACACAGCCTAGCGAGCTTAGCAGGAGGAGTGCACACAGGCACCTGGGTCCAGTTTTCAGAATTGTGCAAGGCCTGAACGTATACTCAAAGGTAATCTCCTGTCAAGGGAATTTTTGCCTTAAAAATCTTAGCATGTTTCAGAGTAGGCAGAGGGACTGGCCATACCCCAGTCCCTCTTCTGAAGGATGACCACCATAAATCCAGCTGAACCCATACCTTTAACCCTTCCCCGCAGTCAGTCCCAGAGAATGAGTCAGATGCAGTGGCTTTTTCGGGAAACAAAGTAGGTTCAGCACCTGCTGATGAAGACCAGTCTTGCCTTTTCTTAAGCACAGCTTTCTCTTCCTCATCCTTTCCATCACATACATTGTTCATTTTGAATTTGAACGTAGAACAAGGGATAAACTGCGAGCACTGCTTTGGGAATCAGGGGGCATACAGTTGGTAAGCAGTAGCCTTCGGACTGTGGGAATGTTCTGCTCTTGGCTGGTTGCCCTGCCAACCTCTCTGTATTGTGACCCCCAAAGACTGTCCAAGCCAGATTCTCCCTCGCAGGATGTTTCCTACTAAAGTCTGAACTCTCCCTAGCAGAGTGTAAATCTGCTTAAACTTTCCCTGCTTGGATGCATGTTTATAGTTCTTGTGGCCTGGCCCTAAGCTTATTTTACCCCAAATACTGCTCCATTCTTAGGGCCTGCATTTATGAGGTCAGTTCCCACACCTCTGCACAGGTAATCTCCTGTGCGTGGAGAAGCTCATTTTCCAAAAAAATCCAGGCTACCTCATGTAAAGAATTATGCACCAGGGGAAGAACTCAGAATTCACAAGCTGAAAGCACTGAATCCTTCTCCTACTCCAGACACAGCTAACAGCTGGCAAATGGACCACTAGCTTTGACTTCCTTCGGTTTTCCTTTGGTTATGGCAGCATTGCTGAGGACAGTGACAACATGTGGACTGTAGCAAGGACTCACCGCTTGTTGACACATTTCTACCTCCAGCTCCATTGATGGAGAAAGCACCTGGACATTCTTCAGGGGCTTGTTGGAGATAGAGAACAAATATCTGTATCCTTTTACCATCCAGCCCACGTCCATCACCACTCATGCGCATGAGTCTCTGTGCAGAAGCTATGATAGAAATCATGTGTGCAAGCCTTTATCACCATGGGCTCCTTTACTCCAGGTGTGGGACATGGGGGGGTGGGGGGTGGGGCATCTGGAGATGGGCCAGGGATGCAGCTCCAGGCTACAATATGTAATTGATAGTATAATAGTATAATAAGATAATACACAAAATCCTTTTTAAAGAGACACTTATTAAATCTGCAGTTTTAATAACAACAAAAGTATCTCTTTTCATTCCATACTATATTTGAGCTGACTGTGGCATCACAAATATCCTTCTTTTTTCCCCATGAAGTTTACCCTGTCTGTCTCTCTGTGATGGTGAGAATAAGATCCAGTACCTTCCTGGGCCAACAGTCTCCGTCCAGTCCTGTAAGGATTGCTCAGTTCCAAAGACTGTTTTTTTTTTTGTCTTGCTGACTCATCCTCCAGTTGGTTATAAGCTAAACAGAAGCAGCAAGTTTCTTCCCTTCAGGAAACACCACCTGGAGCAGGTGATGGTCCTTTTCTTCATCTGTACCCCATATCCCAAGCTGGGAAAGGGAATGGCACCTTTCTTCCTTCCTATGGAAGGAAATTTTATTGATAAATCTTCCACCCTAACAGTTTAAATGTGTCACTGGCTACTGGCTGTCATTAACTTCTAAGACAACAAAATTTGAGTATGCCCTTTTTTAAAAAATTGTTATTATTATTGATTTGCTGGGGGGGTTGTTTTGCTGTTTGGGGAGCACATCTGGTGGTAGTCAGAACTTACTTCTGGCTCTGTGCTCAGGGATCACTCTTGCAAGGCACTTGGGGAATCATGTGATGCTGCAAGATTGGCCACGTGCAAGGTGTAAGTTTTCAAGGTGTAAGGTTTTCAGCAGAAGAAAAGAGGGGTGAGATGGACGCGTGCAGGACACGCAGGACTCGAGCATTCGGTCTCCCCAGGCTGGACAATGGGCAAAGGACGGGCGACAGACCAAGAAACAGGAACTGGGCCCCAGGCTGGTCAGCAGTCAGTTTATTTCTCTCTCCTCCCCGACATCGTCCGGTCTCTCTCTTCATAGCAGTCATAGTTGTTTGGCCATAGTCCCAGTCATCAGAGTTGCATCATCCTAGTCTCCTGGTAGACCTCAAAGTCCTATTGTTCATTATCTCTTCTTCCTCCTCTTGGCGTAGTCTCAAGTCCTCTACTTCCAGTCATCCTCGTTATCTGGTTCTCCTTCTACTCCCAGTCTCCAAAGTCTCAGTTGTCTTCTTAAACATCTCGTCACTGACCTCATCCTCAATGTCTAGTCCTCAGCATCTAGTCTTCAGCATCTAGTTTTCAGCATCTTCAATATCTAGTCCCCCAATGTCTAGTTCTCAGTGTCTAGTTCTTGAGTCTCATTCTTCATCTCCTTTCCCAACATCTAGTCTTCAGTGTCTTCATCTCCTTCCCAGAGTCTCTTAGTCTAGTCCACCATCTCCTTCCCAGAGTCTAGCTCCAGATTCTAGTTTTCTGCATCTTCAACAACTCTCCTACTCCTTACAGCATAGTTATATAGTAATCATGAGGGTTGGGGATACAAAGGTGGAGTTGAACATTGTGATAACAACAAAGAGAAGTAAAGCCTCTCCTTCAGGAGATTAACTCAAAGATAAAATCTCATCTGAGGCTTCAGCATTCCAGTTTACTAGGACATCCACACAAGGGAAGGAATCCATCCAGGGTGAATTGCCTTCTCCTTTCCTCAGCTGGTAATCCTTTTAAACAGTCATAGTAAATTTACTTCTAATAATATTTCCAACAATGTCATTTTGTATGAACACAGAAAAAGATATACTAAGCTTAAAGTTTGTGCACTGTTGTGGGAGTGGCTCAATAAACCTTAAGCTCCCTGCTGGTACAGCAGGAACAACCCAGTGTTGCCCAACAGAACAAGGTTTTTGCCCCCGTTCTATAGCCTTGTAAGCCTGGACTTTAGTTCTCCCCATGTACATGTGTGACAATAACCAGTGATGCATGGTGCTGACCAGCATGCAGATTTCTCTCTTCATATATCTGCTCCAGCTGATGTGGGCCAATAAGCTGCCAGGTGTGTATAGAACTTCTCCCATGGTTCCCATTGCTTGACTGAAGAACTGGTAATGTGCAGAGTTCCTTTGACTTTATAAAACAAATCTCAAGAGATCATTTATGATCATTTGTGAAATTTAATTCAGGACTTCATAAAAATATATAGGAGTTCAATTTCTGGAACCAGAAAGAACAGTGGGTAAGAAACTTGCCTTGCATGGCCATAGTCCCAGTCATCAGAGTTGCATCATCATCAGGAGAGATGCCCGAGCACAAAGTCAGTCAGAAGTAAGCCCTGAGTGTCACCCAATGTCCCTTCCCAACACCTGATGGGCCTTCCCAAATGCATTTGCCTGCTTTGAACTGCAGTCTCTGGTACAAAGGAACAACTTAAGCTGACTTTCTGTGCTCCCCACTGCTTGAATCTCCTGCTCCAAGAAATCAGAGAAGAATCAGGCAGAGCCCACTGTCTGGTAGCAGCTTTATTCTAAGAAAATCAACTTTCACCCTGAGAGCAAAACTCCAAAGAAGATCACTCTGCCCGGAATGAGTCACAGTTCAGATAAAATCTTCAACTCTGCCTGTGGGCTTCTGATTCACCATTCAGTGGTGCTTTCTCTGATGCCTGTAGGCGTGTGGGCACTAGCATCTTTGGACACACAATGGTCATGTGAGAAAATGATATTTTCCATGGTGAATAGACCAGTGTCTTGGTAAGCTGTGGTACTTCTTTTAATATATTCTGGGTTATTTTGTATGACAAGTTAGTTCTTTCAAAGGCTGGTCATCTAATAGTATTCTTAGAATAAAAGGAAGGATGAGTGTTGGGGAGGGTTATGTACTCCATCAGGATGGAATATGCTCTCACTGTCTTTGTTTTGATTCGCTGGAATATGGTGGTATAATGCTGAACTCTCCTATCAGCCCCTACCTTAAGGCATGCCCCTGTACCCTTGTAAAACATAGCAGTATTAAATAACCCTTCTATTTTCTTTCTGCTTTTGTTCCTCAATTTTATTTTCATAATCCCCAGAACTGGTTTAGATTCAAGTGTCATTCAACCTCCTTTACAAACCTGAAGCCTCCAAGTGTTATAAGCAGCTTCTTGGACCCAGCACTGTCTGAGGTCTTGACTGGAATCACTTCTCATTGTCTTTCCATATCCATCTGCGAATTTCTCAGCATCCTCTTGGGATTTTCATTCACTCCTGATTTTCTTGCTTTTAGACACCAGTACAAGCATAATGTGAAATTAAACTAAAGAGAGAGAAGCAAGAGAAAGGACAAGATGCTTTGGGAGCTCAGAGAGAGCAGGAGACTGGAGCGAGGTCACGGCCACACTCTGGAGGGGTGGGGCTGATATTAGCTTACAGATTAAATGGGACTGCCAGATGGAGATGAGGCAAATATATGAAAGATACGGGAGGAAACGATGTCTCAGCCTTTGAAGAAACTCTTCCAGATGCCTGGTGTTCAGTAAGGGGTTGTTGTCGGGTTTTCAGATTGGGGGTGACTCAGCAAATCAAATCAAGGTTAGGAAGTGGAGCTGCAAGACCTCCCTGCTGCCAAAGAGAAAGTGGCCCATCTTGTCCCCGGTTCAGAGGGAAGAAAGTGCCTGGCCTCAGCAGGTGGTGGCAGAGCAGAGAGCCAGGACTGTGGACACGGGCAGCAGCCTGGGACCCACAGGATCTTCGGCTAGGCAGAGCAGCCAGGAACGAATATATAACAGAGTCTGGGTTCAAGGACATGCTACAAAGATACAAAATAGACCAAACAAGCTGTGGATAGAGCCAGGCGAGCTCACCACAATCAACAGACAACACCTTGCATGGGGCACCTGTGGCCACGTTAAGGGATTCAAGACAGTGATTCTGAAAAAAAAAAAAAAGTCCACCTCATTATGGCTTAGGCTTCGGCACAGCTCCAGGTTGCCTCCGGAAGAGCAGATACAGATCACTCTTTCACTTACACTCCTTTTATTTCTCTTGGCATTCCAAGTGGGAGACACAGAGGACAACATCCTCAATTTGACTTTCATGAGAAACGCAAAGGCCACTTTCCAGTCACTGCTTTCTCTAACGGCCTCTAATAAAACTGAGGAGCAAAATATCATGACTATCAAAAACCGTGGCTGTTCTGCCACAGAAGGTGCTAATGGGTGTGTGTGATCTGATGTGTGGAACCCAAACTCAACAGCAGGGGCTCATCCTGAGCTGGGGAAAGAAGTGCTTCCTGAGTGTGGGAGAGAGCAGAGAGCGTGGTGATACGAGGGTAATTGCAAGAGTGGAGTTGCTTGCGTTCTGGGAAAGCCTAGGGTCTTGAGTCCAGTCAGAGTTCCCAGTAGAATCCTCAGTCTGAGCCCAGAGGGAGAGAAACAGAGATGGGATGGCACCAGATACTGCTGAGTGAGAGAGGAAAGACGGACACAAAGGCTGTGCCTGTTCCTTTGGCTGGACTCGGGAGCAGAGGGACATGAGCTACACTGGGAGTGGCCTTTTCCAGTCTTCCTGTCCACGCTTTTACAGAATGATGGTTTCCTTTGAGGAGTTCTTACTGTCTGCATCTTATGGCTGTGCAGCTAATTCAACAGTTGCTTCGGAGCAGTGCACATTCTTGGTCCCTGAACCCCATTGAAGGACAGGTTTATTGCTTCACATCTCTTTGGGGCTTTTTTCTCTCCAGCCACACTCCCTCTAAATGGGATGTTGAGATAATTTCATGTAATTATATTTCTGACCAACTGTGTGATACTTTAAGGTGATTGCCTGTCATGGGCAGGAAGTGTGCCTGCAAACGCAGTTTATGGGAAGTGACGGCGACCAAGTGCTTCCCTTTCCTCTGCCAGCTTCTGAACAGTGAGATGACTTTCAGTCAGTGACAACTCCAGAGCTCGCCTTCGCCCACTGCCCTCTGCACTGCACAAACCACTTTCCTCCAACATACTCACATATTTTCTTAAGTTTGAAAACAACCCCTCATTTTTATGGGAAGACCCCTTGAATTTGGCAATGACCTCACCCCCCACCCCTGGAGCTCATAGCTGACAGCTCAGAAGCAGCACTGCTGGGTAGGGGTAAGGCGGCAAGGGTTGGACAGCCCTGACATCTCACGATGGGCTTGGATTGATGCCAATGGAAGCCGGTCTGTGACCCCTGGTTGTGTGTCTTGCAGTCTCTGAGGAGTGGCAGAAAAGAGGTGGGCAGCCCTGGCAACTCATTGAGCCCGTGGACGGATTCCATCCCAATGAGGTAAGCCCAGTCGGCCGTGCTTCCTGCAGTCTTCCTGCTCCTCCTGAGAGGTAACTGTGTGCCTACATATTCCCTTTCATCCTATCTTATTCCAAGAGGGATTTCAGATGCTGTACACACTTGTGTACAATCCAATGTGGGATTGCAAATACTAAGGTGGAAACAAACTAAGGATGAAAATTAATCTGCTAGAGGTGGGGGTCACAGAGCTGAGGAGCTGCGTGGCCGAGTGACCTCGGATCCATTTTCTGGAAGCTAAAAGCAAATGATACCCAAAATTGCTCTTGAGCACCACTAGGTGTGACCCAAACAAAACACAAAGCAAAGGACAGGCACAAGCGCTCTCTGGAGGAAGGACCCTGGAGGAGTGAGTACCCTGAGATGGGAACCGCCCCCAAAGAACAGGTGGAAAGCAGACCCTCGCGAACAGTCGCTGCAGTGAAGAGAGAAGGGCCCCAAGTGGAAATAGTCAATAGGGTGCAGATATAATGGAAAGTGTGACTTAGGAAAGTGCTCTCCCAAGGACGTAGGGTGTGGGGCCAGAGGATGTGGCAGCAGTTCCAGCTGTTCAAACATCTGCTCTTTCAGTTGTAGCTTAATTTCTTCTGGTTTCGGGGGCCATGCCTGGCAGTGCTCAGGGATCCTTCCCGGTGGCGTTCAGGGCAACAGTGTGGCACCAGGGCTTGACCCCACATTACCTCCTCACAGGGCAAGGTTCTGTCTGTTGCAGTATCTCTCTGGCCCCACATCTGCTTTCTCTAAATTTCTGCGAAGTTAAGCTTAAAGAGTCACTCGGAACACCCCAGGGCCTAAAATCTGACAATAGTGAATAGAAAATGCCGAAGGAGCCACAGGCGTACACCAAGCTCAGTTTCCACAGCTAAACCCCCTTGGCAGCAGCACCTTGGAAGCTGTGCCTACACCCCACTCTGCGGAATGACCCGTCTCCTCAAGGCTACACTGGCATGTCAGGTGAAGCCCCAAACCATGTACATTGCTAGATGCAGACATGGCTTATAGAGTGATTTTAGATGAGGAACTGGCATCTGGGACTTCATTTCCCTCAATGTGCAGCCCCAATGCTGGACATCAGAGACCCTCCAGGAAGGAAGCTCAAGAAGGAGACTGTCAGGAGGCACGCCTGGCTTTTGCAGCCTGAGGCCCTCAGCAGCAGTCACTGCATGGTTCTGACCAAGCGTCAGCACATGCAGTTCCATCTGCTTTGACCCCAGTCAGGCACATGCAGTTCCATTTGCTTTGACCCCAAAAGGCAGCAGCAGTTGTGCTGATGAGTCAGCACTGAGATGCTGGAGATAGAAATTCATTTTTTCGGTAAATGTGAATATGTAAAATTTTTAAAAAGTAATCGCATTTTTTGGGGGTTTTGTTTTTGGACCACAGCTGGTTGTACTCAGGCAGGGCTTACTCCCAGCTCTGTGCTCTGGGGTCAGTTCTAGCAGTCTCAGGGGGCTCTGCAGGGTGTGGGATTTGAGCTCAGGTTGGTGACATGCAAGGCAAGCACCCTACCACTATACCATCTTTCTGGCCTGGGAAATATGCCTACGTCACTGTCACATTATCACTTTATATATTTAAAATTGAAAGCAGAACCAGAGAGGTTAGCAGAATGAGCACATGCTTTCCATGCAGGAGGCCCAGGTTCAGTCCCCAGAGCTGCAGGGTCCCCTGAGCACTGCCAAAAGCAACCCCCATATACAGAGCCGGATTAACCCCCAAGTACTACGGGGTGTGGCCTAAAAAGAAATCACAATTTAAAAAAGAGCATAAATAGGGGTGAGGGTGGGGAGAGGGATGCTGGGATCATTGGTGGTGGAGAATGGGCACTGGTGGAGGGATGGGTAAACAATCACTGTATGACTGTAGAGCAAACACAAACGTTCATAAGTTTGAAACTACCTCACGGGGATTCACTAATCACAATCACGATCACCCTGTTGTTCGTCAATTTCCTCAAGCAGGCACCAGTAACGTCTCCTTCTTCCTAGCCCTGAGATTTTAAAAGAGTCATTTCAGTGCTCTTTCAGGATTAGGAGAATGAGACCCATCACTGTTACTGGTATTTGACATGTTGAGTACAACACGGGAAATTTGCCAGACTCTGCCATGTGGGCAGGATACTTCTGGTAGCCTGCCAGGTTATTAGATTCACTGATAAAAAAATAAAAAAATAATTAATTAATTAATTTTAAAAGAACATAAATAAATAACAATTTTAAAAGAGCAGAAATAAATAACATTGGAATGGAAAGTAACCAGGTCCTTTCAGCTGTCGCTGGGCAGTCTGGCCAGAGGTGCCCCAGGCCTGCCCTGTGCTCAGGCTTTCCTTGATGAAGTTTTTTTTTCTTTTGTACGGAAGCAAAGTATTTTTATTGAAAGAATTTTACAGAGAGGACAGAGGAGGAAGGAGAGAGGATAAAAATATCTGTTTAAGAGAGAACAGGGGTTGGGATCAGAGCAATAGTACAGTGGGTACAGTGAACAGGTCATTGCCTTGCACACAGTCAACCCAGGTTTGATCCCAGCATTCCATATGGTCCCCCAAGTCTGCCAGGAGTGATTCCTGAGTGCAGAGCCAGGAGCAACCCCTAAGAATCACCAGGCGTAGCCAAAAAAAAAAGATAGAGAGAGAAAGGGAGAGAGGGTGAGAGGAGAGAGAGAGAGAGAGAGAGAGAGAGAGAGAGAGAGAGAGAGAACAGGCTTCTCCAGAGTGGAATAAAGCCGAGAATAGCTTGTAGGAGAAGAAGAGATGCAATTTGTCCAAACTGTGTTGGCCTGTAGTTCTCCACATTCAAAAGAGTTCATCTGGATATTGTCACAGGAAATACCTTGGACTCTTGATGGCCCTTGACTCTTTAGAGTCTTCTCTTTTCAAAAAGGGTGCACCCTTCTCTGAGTAGTGCCTCAGTTTATCCATTTGGGTGGGATTTTTAGGCAGGACCTCAACATCAACATTATGAAACTCAACTGCCTTGGCAAGGTGAATAAAAGCAAGAACAAACATGTGGAACTCCATAAACTTAGATGATGTGGGGGGGCTGGGCGTTGTACAGTAGCTTTACAAGTAGAAGTTGATCAATCCGTCCCTGACACCACCAGTTGTGCCAAGCACAATCCGAGCATCTCTGCTATCTGTGGTCCCAGCAACACAAGCACTGTCTGGCCCTATGGCAGCCAGATGTGTGTGAACTCAGATAAAGGGGTGAGGCCCTCAGCAAGCAGAACCAAGAGACATGGAAGCAACACATCAGGGAGCGTAGCCCAGACCTCGTGTGTGTAAGTGCCAGAGCAACCTCTGCTGAGTACTGGGACCAGAGTTACTCTGAGCACGACTAGGGAGTGTGGCTTCAACTGAGCACAGGGCATGTGCTGTGGCTGGAAGAGTGACCCCAGCAAACCCCACAACCAGGTGTGTGTCAGGATAACAATGAAGGAGGGAAGGGGAAAATAGATAAGAATGGAATTAACTCTAGATGTATAAAAAGGGAAAACAGGGACTAGAGTGATAGCATAGCGGGTAGGGTATTTGCCTTGCACGCGGCCAATCTGGGTTCGATTCCCAGCATCCCATATGGCCCCCCGAGCACTGCCAGGAGTAATTCTTGAATGAAGAGCCAGGAGTAAGCCTTGTGCATTGCTGGGTGTGACCCAAAAAGCAAAAAAAGTAAAAGGGAAAACAAATTAAAAAGCTTTTATAGGGTCAAGGAGGAGGTGCAGGGCTCAAGCACTTGCCTTACATGTATGAGACCTGGATTAAGTCCCCAACAGGGCAAAATAAATAAATAAAAGTCTTCATACTATGACAGAAACTGCAAGAAATGCAAAAACTCAACCTAGAAAATAAGAGAATATACTTTCATATTATACATCTGAAAGGGGTCAATATCAAAAGTTAAATAAAAACAACCAAAAATCAAGCAATCCAGGGCAAAAAAAAAAAATGGCCAAGGGCCAGAGAAACAGTACAGAGGAAAGACATTTGCTTTGCACACAGGCATCCCCAGTCCAATTGCCAGCCCCAGAGATGGTTCCCAAGCACCACCAAGATGATCCCTGAGCACAGAGCTGAGACTAAGCCCTGAGAACTACCAGGCGTGGCCCCAAAACAAGACCAAAAAAAAAAAAAAAGAACCATACAAGGGAAAGACCTAAACAGACCTTCTCTGAAGAAGACATTTACACATAGAATGCAAATACGAGTGCAATATCTGTCTATTGCCCCCTTCAAGTTTCCCTCCAGGAATGACACACTTGGTTAGAGAAGATGATTTTAACAGCCAACGTGCAGAATCAACCCAGAATCTTATCAATAGATGACTGAGTACAGTGTTTCTATCAGTGGAATTCTATTCTGCCCTTAAAAAAGGATTAATTTGTGCCCTTTGTAACAACATGGATGAGACTTGAGGAGTTCTGATAAAAGTATGGAAGTAAAGGGCTGAATTTAACACCAGACACTTTCATTGATGTGAAATGTAAATAACCAAAGCAAATAAACTGGGGGAAAAATAACTCAGACTCAGTGAACACTACAGTGGAAAGTGAGAGAGCAGAGGGAGAGCGTGGGGGGTGGGGGTGGGACAGCACTGGAGCTTGGGGGTAGCTGCAATGAGCCGACGCACACAGCGAGGTAAAAGGCTAGGCTCCTGAGATTATCCTACACATGAGGATAAGTCTATAAAATAAACATAAGCAGGGCAGTCTGAAGGCATCTTTCCCACAGGACAAAGAAACTGACTTTTTAACTTTGAATTGATAACATGCCAGAGTTAAACTTAGTAAAACTTCAACTTAAAAAGTACCATGCTGTAAAAAACTAAGCACGCTGAAGGTTGTGTGTTCTCAGGCTCTACGGATGACTCTATCTCACCACCCACATTCGGTGCCCTGGAGCCCCTGCGTGTGGCCTAGATTGAGATGGCTCTTGGCCAAGGGCAGACGAAGAAAGAGATGAGAGCCAGGATGGTTGGTCTTAGTTGCCTTTTATTCCAATCCTCTTTTCATTCACTCCTGTGTCTCTCTCCGCCTCTCTCTCCAACTCTCCTCTCCAGCTCTCTGGGTTGACAGGCTACCCAGTCAGGTAGCCAAATCAACATAAGAAAGCCTTTCCTGAGGGCCCACCTAAAAGGTATTCTAAAGCCCTTCCTGACTACCAAAGGGCAAAATACCTCCTAAGGTGTTATTCTCTTTTTCTCAGTCCAATAAACTATCAACTATCAACTATTCCTGAGGCTATGCAGGAAGGACAGAACAGTGTTATCCTACACCACGCCATGAAGGGTTTTAGTGGCACCCATATAAGCTTGATATGAATAGCATTGTATGTTTCAGGGGCCAGGAGAAATATCTCAACAGGCTGGGGTCAGGCTTTGCATACTGGAGGCCTGGGCCTGATTCTCAGCACCACACGCTCCACAGAGCACCACCAGGAACAGAACCTGGCACAGAACCAGGACCTCTGGGTATGGCTCTTACCCACAACAATGAGCTATGGATGAAACCCAGCAGGAGGGCACTTGGCTGTGCAAGGCCCTGGGTCCCATTCCCAGCACCACCACCACTAGGTATAGCCACAGGTATAGAGTATATAGTATACTCTCTCTCTCTCTCTCTCTCTCTCTCGCTCTCTCTCTCTATATATATACATATATATGTATATATATAATACCATCGATGGTATACATATTTTTAGGGTATATATATATACCATCAATGGTATGTAGATAATAGAGGAACAAATAAAGCTCTGGAGGTAGACGTGTAATTCTAGATGATACAGACCTAGCTAGACAATTAGAGAGTGATATAGTGTAATCAGGTAGCTGCTGTGTAAGGATTATCTTCACAATTGTTTTCCTAAGTGGCTCTATTTGTAATAAAATATCTACAATTAGTGTCTGAAGTAGGGCGTGTAGATGATGTCCAGCAAACACTGCTGGGTTCCTGAACTGTCCAGTGTGTCTCATGAACTTGTGGGAGGACATGGCAGAAGTGTATTTCTCAGGGTGGGGAACTTCCCTGTAGAGGAACTCACCTAGGGTTAAATATGGTAACAATTGTAGTTCCATTTAAAAATCACCACCAGAAAAAGAAAAATTCTGAAAGCCAGACAGAAGCAGATGACCTTCCCCATGGGACACTGACTCTACCTGGGGTTGGCCCCGGGGCCTCTCAAGCAGCACCAGGCAGACAGGCGGGGGCGCCATTCTTACCAAGCACTTGGATGGCAGGAGGGTGCTCAGCAAAGCACTGTGCCCAGCAGGGGAGGGCTCTGCCCACAGGCGCTGGCAATGGTGTCTGGATGAGCACAGCACCACATGGAAGCTGTGAATACTGCAGTGAGGACATGCAGGAACTGGCGAGCAGCCAAGCCAAGCATAGAGGCAGCTGCAGGGAAGATCTGACCAGGGAGATGAGTACTCCCATTCACAGCAGAGCCAGGCCAGAGTGCAGTCGGGGGAGTAAATTAGTGATATGATTTGGACCAAACAAGAACTGAGAGTAAGGGACAGGGTGCTGGCTTTATGCAGCACATCGAGGGGAGGTACCAGTGGAGAGCCATGATAAAAGGAGCCCTATGTAGGTGGTTGGTGAATGTTGCTCAAATAATGGTTGTATGGGTCATTTTAGCACAGGCATCTCGAGTTTGTTAAGTAATGGCCCTCTTGCTTTAAACCCAGTGTATTTGCAATGCACACATAAATAATCTCATCTCCATTAGACTGACAGCCAACTAACTGCTTTCATACCCAGAAGCTAGCCCACGTTCAAATCAGGCTCTTTCATTTTCCTTTTCTCTTCTTAATACCACCTCATCACCTCCCATATTAATTTAAATTGGGAGATTGATGACCACAAATGCCTTGATAGCATATAATTAAGAAAATAATTTAGGTATATCAAGTTAAAAAGGAAAAGAAATCAGGAAGGACCACCAGTAACTGTCTGCATCCTTGGCAGGAGCCTATTTTATCAAGATCATCAAAACAGTGGCAAGACCAGAGTTGTCTTTGAAAACACTGATGGTTTTGAGTTAGGGAAATGATCAAACGTGTATCAAAATTCTCTGTCTGATAGTGTGTTTGTGTGTGTGTGTGTGTGTGTTTGAAGAAAGAGCATGGGGAGGCTGTATATGATGGGTGATATATGTGTGGTTGTGATATGTGTAGTTTGTTGTGGAAGGTAAGCAGGCTGTGTGTGTGTATTATGTGTGTAAGTGTGCAGCCTGGAGAAGGTAGGGGAACATGTGTTATGTGTGTGATGTCTTTATACAACACATATACTATGTGTGTGTTGTTTGTGCTTTGTGTTGCGTGCATCGTATATGTGGCCTGTGTATGTACTTATGTGGTGTAAGTGGTGCATGGAGGAGTGTGTAAGTGATGTGCATGGTTGAGTGTGGAGTGAGTGGTGTGGAGGTGTGTGCTATCCACTATATGTATGGTATGTGTCCGCACAGTGTGTAGGTGGAGGTGGAGAGTGTGGAATCTGATCACAATTACTTCATGGATGAATGGAATGAAACTACCCACACTCTTTTTGCAAAGGAGAAATCTGTGCTGAGTGGAAGGGTTCCCAGTGGCACAGGGGCCCTGCACACTGCCTTTACAAAGGTGAGTGTGACTTGGCTTCAGAGACGGCACATGTGCTTCTGAGTTAAATTGGGACAGGTGTTCCCCATGGAGCCATTACTCTTCTCTGACTGGTAGCCAGTCAAAGTCCCTGTGGATGCAAAGCCATTGGTCCCCAGAGTTTCCTATTTTTTGTTGAGGTTTGGGTGGTGGGGGTCGCACCTTGTGATGCTCAGGAGTTTCTCCTAGCTCTGAGCTTAGGAGTCGCTCCGGTGAAGCTCGGGGGACCACATGGGGTGGGTGCCAGGATTGAAGCTGAGTCTGCTGCATGCAAGGCTAGTGCTTTAACCACTGTACTATTGCTCGGGCTCCAATTGTTGAGGGCTTTAATCCAGAGAAAGACACATTCTCGGTCACAAGAAAGTCAGGAGCAGACTCTGTGGACACCGTGAGGAAATGGAGATCTGACTTAGCAAGGTGGGCAGAGGGCAACCTTTGGCTGGGCAGCCAAATCCAAGATTCCTCACCGTGGGCCTCCCCGCTAACATGGTCCACACACAGGTGGGGCCGTTCTTGTTCTCTCCCACGTCTGAGTCCTCCACCTGGGGTGCTGGCTGCCCAGAGCATCCATCTGTTGGACCCCTCCTTGGAAATACAGCTCAGCCTTCACCGTCTTTGAGAGGATCTTGGCCCTTCCTTGCTTGGGTCCTCCTGCAGCCTCCCCCCTGCTTTTCTGAAGTCATTCCCATGTCCACTTTTCTCACTACCACGGGGATTCCTTGAGGGAAGGACTCATTCTGTTCATCTCCTGCAGAATTATCCACAGACAAATGAGTAAATGGATTCTTAAGTGCATTTTTTATCTGTTACTAAATTATAAATTATCACATGCTTAGCAACTTAGAATAATGCACATTTGTTACTCCCCCATTTCTGTTGGGTCATATCTCCACTTAATGTCTCACAAAGCTACATCCATGTGCATCATCCAGGATACATTCCTTGGTTTGTATTTGCTGTGTTGGGGAGGGCTACACCCAGTAGTGCTCAGGGCTTGCACCTGGCTCTGAACTCAGGGGCCACTCCAAGCGGGGCTCAGGGGTGCTTTGAGGTACTGAGGATTGAACTGTGTTGACCACTTGTTGGACCGTCTCTTCAGGACCCCAGGCAATGTTCTCCCCCTACTCAATAGGAAAGAGTGGGTGGATTTCCCCTGACTCCAATTCTTGGCAGAACCCATTTCCTTGTGATTTTAAGGAGAGGATCCAGGTTCTTGCTGGATGTCTGCTAAGGTCTTGTCTCTTCCTTGTCATTGGGGCTTCCCAACAGAGTTTTTTATTTCATTGCCCAGAAAGAAGAGTCATTGACTGAGTCTGTTAGTGTGACAGAGAGATAGGTCATGAAATACACTCCCCAGAGAGACATCCTTTTAGATTTCAGAGAAAAACTGAAATACCCCTCCAGCATCACCAGACTGGAGAAGCCCTTCCAGAGAGTGGAAGGCAGGAGTCAAGGGTGACCATTCCATAGTCTGTCTCCCACATAAAGGATAAGATCAGACTTTCAGGAGAATGTTCTCCTTCATTGCCGCTTCCCACTTACTCCTCTGGGATGTCTCTTGCAGGTGGCTTTGCTGCTGCTGGCAGATCAACTCTGGAAGAAGGTGATGCTCCAGTGGCCCCAGGTCCTGGGAAAGGAGAACCCATTCAACCACCAGATTGAACAGGTGTTTGGAGACCAAGGGGGCCACTGAGCCTCCATATAGCTTAGGGAGGGAGAAACGGGTAAATCTATTGGCTGCTGTTGGCACAGGCTCTCGGAACCTTGTTGAGCAGCATCTCTGCAATGTGCTTTTCCCTCACTAAGAAAAACGCGCAGTGACAGCACAATTCTCTGAGCTTTGGTTCCCTTCAACTTGTTTCTCAGATAATTTTTAATAAAGCTTTGAGGTTGGTGGTCTTTCCTTCGGGGTCAGTTTGGAGAACCCAGGGGCCTCAGCAGAAACAGCAGCCCCACCTGAAACAGAGATTCCTCCTTTCCTGGCTACCCCATTCCTGCTTCCTGGATGACTTTCTCAGACAATCTAGTTTCAGTGAAAACAAAGATTAACATGAAGCTGTGTGTTCAAGTCTGTGGGATTTGTTATGGGACAAATTTATGGTACATCTCCTTGGACTGGCACAAATAGGAATCAAAGCCCCCACTGACAGTGCCCATCTGACAGTTCTGTAGGCTGGCATCCAGCTCAGTGCCTCTCCCACCTTACTTTCCCTTGGCCCTAGAACCCCTGTCCTGATGCTGAGGGTCAGGAGCAGACTGCCTGAAAATGCTTCTTTTCTGCTTTTTTAAATTTTTTGGTCGCTGTGATTTACAATTTTACAATCATGACATGACATTCCAACATTACAGCCCTTACGATGGCACCTGTTTCCCTCCACCACTATCCCAGGGTACCCCCTCAACTTTTGTCTATAATAAAAGCCAAAGACAGGGTCAGAATACTGAAGTTGGAAAGATCACAAAAGATAGTCCCATCAAGGGAACTCTCAGAAAATCGACAATGGAGCTATCAAATGAGACTCTGAGCAAGATGAGGATGGTGGAAAGTAAAAACCAGAGAAAGAGAGAGAGAAAAAAAACTCAGCTTGCCCTTTCAAGCTCCTGTTCTCCCTTGAAACCATCCTCTCTCTTTCTTTTCCCTCACATCATTCTAAGTAAATTTCATTCAATAAAAACTACCTTGCTTCACTATTTTGCCTCCTCCTGAGATTCTCTTCTGTGAGGTTAAGATGATGGACCTGGAACACTGTGCTGAGGTTAGTAGGACTGACTTTCCTTTCCTGCAAAGAGCAATTCCTTTCTCCATCCTGAGTCTATGGCCCCCTCAGGTAACTGGCTGGCAGGGATCATCAACCGACCACTTGCAGAGTGGTGGTCTCTAGGTGCAGTGTGATAGCTGTCTGGTGGGGCTGATGGGCTGTTGGTATCCATGCAGTATAGGTACTCATAGCTGACTTTACCTCTCCTGATTCAAGCCTGGCATTTCCCTGAGTGGGTGACTGAGATGGGTCAAGCAGAAAGGTGGAGGCATTTTCTTCTCAAGGTTGTTTCACTTTCACCCCACTTTACCAAGCAATACTTCCTTTCATTTCTCAAATAAAGTCTCCTCTGATTTGGCAAAATAATAATATTTTGGAAATGAAATGAACACCTCATCAAGCTGAGAGAGAGAGAGAGAAGAAAAGTAGTGCCTGCTTCAGAGGCAGGTGATGGGGGTGGGGGTGGGAGAGTCAAGAGGGAAACTGGGACATTGGTGGTGGGAAATATACACTCATGAAAGGATGGGTGTTGGAACATTACATAACTGAAGCCCAATTATGAACAACCTTATAAATCTGTATTTCACTGTGGTTCAATAAAAATAGTTGAAAAAAGGAGAAGAAGAATACTGCTAGATTACCATACCGATTTGAAGGGATGATACAGAGCTACATGGGAGGGCAACAGATTAGGGAACTCAGAGCCTTGAAAGCAGGAAAGGGGCTTTATTAAATAACATCACAAGCTTCTCAGCACTTTGTCACTGAGCATGGCATTTCCTCATGATGCTTATACCCTTTACTATATTAAAAAATAAAAAGGCCTGTTTATTCCTAGCTTGCTGAGGGTTTTGTACTTTTTTAATAATGAATTAATGTTTCATTTATATTAAATGTTTTTTCTATGTCCTCAGGTGATTTTTTAAATCAATAGAGTATTTTTTAATTAAAATCTTTGGCCTAATGCAGATACTTAAACACTGTCTTTAATATTATATTTTCTAACATAAAGCCTTAAGAAGAAACACTCTTTCATATTTTTCTTTAAAATGTTTTTAAGTTCTCCTCTCCTTACTCTTACTAAGTTGTATACTTTAGGATGTATCTATTATATGTGTACTTTAAAGTGTATAAATATAAAACCATTTATACTACAAATTTTAAGAATTTATATACCTAAAAGAAATAAAGATATATAGTTTCTGAAAAAAAATCAATCTATCATTGATTTACAGTCTTGTAGAATTTCAGGAGTTTGTCTTTATCCATCTTTACGTATGTTGGTATCGCCACCTTCACAATAAAAATCCTCCTTCATATGTGAGATATAAAGAAACATAAGGGAACAACAAGCAGCCAAATTTATTAAAACTGGAGATCTTATCTATAGAACTGATTTTACATGAAAGGGGCAGTGGCTGGGAAGGGTTTGGGGGACACGGGTGGGGGCAAGTGGGCACTTTGGTGATAGATGTTGTGTCGGAATTCTGCATGTGTGAACAGCAAGCTTACTATTTATAACAGTATCATAAATCCCAGTGCCTCAGTGCAAATGGTACAGAAAAAAATAAAAACAGAAAGTGGATTCAGGGAGATACTTCCAAAGGCTAGGGCACATGTTGAGCCTGTGGGAGGTCCAGGTCCATCCCCTGGCACACTCGATCCCTGAGAACTGAAGCAGAAGTGTCCCCTGAGCACCATCTGGCATGGTTCAACACCCCCAGCTGGAAAAAAAATGCCTTTTTCTTAAGACACCTGATTAGAGCTATTGGATCATACTTCTTGTAGCAAACAGGGTAAAAAAGAGCAATCCACAATGAAGGAGCCTTCTCTCTGGGTGCATGTAGTGGATAGACTTGGGGTTCCTCTGTCATCTTCAGATAAATATCCCAACACTATTGTCATGGGTTTACCCAAACAGGAGCATCTGGCCCCATGGGTGGAGGGGTCAACAGCAGGTAAGATGCTAAAAGTGGCTAGCCCAGGTTCATCACCAACACTACATGTTCCCCAGTGCATGTCAGGACCAATCCCTGAGCACAGAGCCAGAAGTGATCCCCGGGCATCACTGGGTATGACATCAAAAGACAAAAGGAAAGGAAAAAATGTAGCCCTTTGCTATCAAATCAAGCTTCCAGTTTTTTACATAAAAAATCTATTAAGAAGTTAGAGTCACATATCCAAAACACAGACTCAACAACACTGAAAACACACGATCTAGGCTGCAAACACTGGAACTCTGTCAAATGCCTGGTAAGGTGACAGGCAGGGATGGGGATGGGCCCTGGCCGAGGAATGGTGGGAAAATATTATGTGCCTAGAATAGAACTATCGATAACTTTATTACTGTCACTGTCCTCCCGTTGTTCATCGATTTGCTCAAGCGGACCCAGTAACATTGTGAGACTTGTTACTGTATTTGGCATATCGAATAGTCATGGATAGCTTGCCAGGCTTTGCCGTGTGGGCGAGATAATTTCGGTAGCTTGCTGGGCTCTCCGAGAGGGGCGGAGAACTTTATAAGTCACAGTTTATCAACTAAAAAATTATCAAGAAGTCAGGCCCACAGCCTGCCCCCCAGCGCCATCTTTACAACATACAGCCCAAGAGAAGGACCACATGAAGGGCGGAAACCACAGATCCCAGAGGAAAAAAAAAAAAACAGGTTCCAAAAAGAGCCGAGATCACCGGGAAGTCCCAGATGGGGTAGGTACCGCATCCCGCCTCCCCCAGATGGAACCCCGGTGACCAGAAGCCTCTACAAGCACAGCTCGAGTTTGCGGGAACTGGGACTTTTTCACAAATCTGCCGGAACTACAGCTCCCAGGTAACCTCTGATTCTGGAAGTCACGCCCACAGCCCGCCCCCCAGTGCCATCTTTACAACATACAGCCCAAGAGAAGGACCACATGGAGGGCGGGAACCACAGATCCCGGAGGAAAAAAAAAAAACAGGTTCCAAAAAAGAGCCAAGATCACCGGGAAGTCCCAGATGGGGTAGGTACCGCATCCCGCCTCCCCCAGATGGAACCCCGGTGACCAGAGGCCTCTACAAGCACAGCTCGAGTATGCAGGAACTAGGACTTTTTCTCAAAACCGCGTGGCCGCTTACGCGGCTGCGCGACATCTCTCTATATACAAAGTGATCAATGGGAAGTAAACCACCCAACCTTTCTCCCTGAAAATCAGAGTTAAGTTTGGAGCACGGCCACAGCCCCAGAAACACAAAGACTTAATGCAGAACCCAGCAGCTTGGAGCAGAAAAGTGAACAGACTATGCGTTAATCCAGGCCATCATGTCTGCCCGGAGGGCAAAGAGTGTTGCCCCATTCACCCTCCCTTCTCTGGAAAGAAGGATGGCAGCCGCATGGGAGCCTTGTGGACAGCAGGTATGAGCCGGGTGTGTGGGGGCGACTAAAACCTCATGGGAAGGGGAGCGTTCTGGTCCGTCCTTCACGCCCTGAGGGGAAAGGGTGTTGCCCCATTCGCCCTCCCTTCTCTGGAAAGAAGGATGGCGGCCGCATGGGAGCCTTGTGGACAGCAGGTATGAGCTGGGGGTGCGGGGGCAACTAAAACCTCATGGGAAGGGGGGCGTTCCGGTCCGTCCTTCACGCCCTACCGAGGCCACCAGTTGGCCCCACGAGCAGCTCTCCAGCACGGCCACAGCCCCAGAAACACAAGGACTTAATGCAGAACCCAGCAGCTTGGAGCAGAAAAGTGAACGGACTATGCGTTAATCCAGGCCATCAAGTCTGCCGGAGGGGAAAGGATGTTGCTCCCTTCCGCCCTCCTTCCTCTGGAAAGAAAGATGGCGGCCACATGGGAGCCTTGTGGACAGCAGGTATGAGCCGGGGGTGTGGGGGCGACTAAAACCTCATGGGAAGGGGGGTGTTCCGGTCCGTCCTTCACGCCCTACCGAGGTCACCAGTTGCCCCCCACGAGCGGCTCTCCAGCACAGCCA